TACCCCACAAAACTATAATAAAAATACTGATTAATTATTAAAAAAAAAAAAAATAGTCTCTTGTTCTTTTCACAGTTTTAGGCTCTTCTTATTCCCAAATATTTACCTTATTTCTGCAGGACTTTTTTTGCTCCTGAATACCTTCTTCAGATACATGTCTCTACTATTCTCTAATTTTTAAAAAAAATAAAACATATAGGTTAAATCTCAAACTCCAAAAAACTACCCATCTGTCTCCTTATGGAATTTTATAGGGTTGACTGTTTCTTCTAAGTTCTGCCCATGGTGAGTTGTAAATCCTGGCTGCAGATTTGGGTCTGTGGCGATGCTTGTAACACAGTCTGACCATTAGGCCTCCACTGTGGCCCTCCACTGTGTTGGCCCTCTCACATGGACTGGGTTGATTGCATTTTGAGTCTTATAGTTTCTGTTAGATTTGAACTTCTTGCTATCCCAAAGAATAAGAAAAAGGATAATTTGTGGTAGAAAAAGTTTGAAAGAGACCATAAAATAAGGAAAGCTCATGAACGTGGCACATTCATTTAAAGAATAAATATGGGACTAGAACGTATAAGAGGAAGTTAGGCACCAAAAGTTAATCTTCCATGTATTTTCTACATTTTTCAAATTTCTTATTGGAATACTCTCTTCAGCTCTGAGGTTGACATCTTAAGCAAGATGTGGAAACGATTGCCAAGTCTCCTGGGAAAGGCAATACCAATTATTAGAGAATAAAATAAGACCTTTAGGAGAGAAAAGGAATTTAAAGCCCATGGAGACCTGGGACTTGGGGTAACTCTTTCAACTGGCTAATGGTACAAAAAGGAATGGCCTTAGTTTTTTAGGAGGATTTTATTGGCGTATGAACCTTTTCTCTCCACTTAATATGTAAAGCAACTTACATTTATTTACGGTAAGAACTCTGTTATTTGTCTTCAGCCTTGTCACTTGGTTGAAGCCATAGCTCGTCTCCGACTAGTATTATGACTTGAGTCCATTTCTTTTACCTCTTGGGTTTAATTCCTCTTATGTTTAAAAAGAAAGTTGAATTACGCAAAGGTTTCTGATAACTTCCAACTAATAATGAGTACCAGCACTAGCTAGTGCCAGTACATATATTCATGTATATTAAGTACACGCTCACATGTAATTCTTGCAACGACCATGTGAAGTTGGAGCAGTTACTGCTGGGGCTTAGAGGGTAAATGCCTGAGGGGATGCGGTGAGTAAAGAGCAGCTGCGGCTGGAGGGAGGGAGTCCAACTCCCAAGCTCATGCTCTAAGCCCTGGACTTCACCATGTGGGTTCTCTCCTGTGTCATCCTGTTGCTGCTGTGAATTGGATTGGATAAAAATGAACATTCAGGGAAACCTCTTTTTTTTGTTTTTTGCTTTTTTAAGTAGCAAAATATAGTTAACCAGTGTTTAAATTATGAGGAAGAAACTTTTGTTAAAATGACCCATCCAGAGGAAAACGAAGATGGTTACCCGTTACTAGTAGTAGTTCTGTTGCATATTTCATGCAGTGTTTAGTGACCCAAAGATAATCTAAATCAAGCTGAAGTTATTCAGAGGACTCAGCAGTTTTTAAAGTTGTACAGTGGTTTTAAAAAATTGTTTACAGTAAAAAAGCAAAATAATTATTTTTAAAGTTGTATTAATCCAGAAAGCGATTCTGCAAGACTCTTGTGTTGTCAGATCCTCACCCCTCCAGTACTAATGTGTTCTCGACACTGTGTTTCGAGAAAAGCCCACCCGGCCAGAGGGGTAGGATTGGGAACTGTCAGGGAAGAAAAGCGTGAAGGACCTGGGTATGTTCAGCCAGGCGAAGGAGGAGCAATCTCAAATATAAGAAAAGCTGTTGTTTGGATGAACAACTCCCCTGGACAGTGTTGGACTAGTGGAAGTTTGAGTGACAGGCCAGCGCAGCTGAGGCCAGCCGAGGGCTGCATCGGCTGACTTCTGCTGTCAGGTTTCTTGGTCTGGAGATTTTCCAGCAAAGACTGGTGACCCTGGGAAAGGGATGTTGTGGAGCGTGTTCTACCCTGGCTTGACTGAATGAGGTGACTTTTTTCCTTTTCACAGTGCCTGGCACATAATAGGTACTCAATAAACCACTGTTAAATTAAACTTGAAAAAATGAAACAGGAGAAGTATTCTTACCTAATTGTTTAAAACTTAGGCAACTCTTAAAATGATGTGTTTGAGTCTGTTCAGACTACAAGGAGAGACTGAGAAGGAAGAACATTCAAGCTAATTTAGGTATAGGGTTGGCTGCTTTCTGTTTCCTCTTACATGCCACAGGTCTTTGTAAACTGTGTCAAACTCTCTGGGAAAAGGCAAATAACTTGAATAGCTATCATATAAATTATTACATGTAAGTTTTAAAATGCATCCCTTTTTATATGCACGCATGTCTCAGCTTATTAACTTGTAAGCTCTTTGTCATTAGGACTGTATATTTTCATAGTGTCCTTTCACGGCACCAAGCCAGACCTTTGTGAAATAACATGTGAGTGATTTCAAACTGGTGTGTGTGTGTGCATGCGCCCACCCACGTGCACAGGGGTGTTGCCCCCAATTTTCATTATTATTCAGAAATGAAGTCCTTTCATTTATGTATCTAATGCCAATCTTGAAATGTAGAAATATTTAATGAGCCAGGTGTAAATTGTGTTCGATGCAGAGGGGAGTTTGTTGAGTGTTTGTTGCTTTTGGTAGGTGCGTGTGAGGGAACCTTGGCTTGCTCTACCTGCCATCTCATCTTTGAGGAGCATGTATTTGAGAAGTTAGACCCCATCACTGATGAGGAGAATGATATGCTTGATCTGGCCTATGGACTCACAGACCGGTAAGATTTTTGTACTCTGGCAGTTGTACTAATAATCTGGGAAGGTCGTTTTTTGTTTTTTGTTTTTAATTACTTTGTGTCTATTTAAGACCAGACTCATGAATGTATAGTGTTCTCCTAGCTTAGATAACAGCCACAAATTTTAAATGCCAGATATGTGGCATTCGCCTTTGTTTTCTTTATTCTGCAGTTTAGCCCTTATGAAAACATTCCTTTTTACAAAAGTAAAAAAAAAAAAAAATTGGAATTATAAGTTCTAGATCCTAATAAATCTTCTTTGGTCTATCTTTATTCTGAGAATTAATATTTATCATAATTTAATGGGATAGGATTAAATTTAATGCTTTTTATAGTATTCTTGAAGGACAGACTTGATAATTGAACAAAATTATTACCTATTTGAGAGAAGAGAATTTTTAAAGAAATAATGTATAATAGTAATTATGTTAAAATGAAGTTCTTTTTCTAAGTGTACATTAAAGTAAATTAATCAGAGCTTATTGTTACTAATGAATAGGTGGAATTACTCTTAAAAGTGGTAACATTTATAGTAGCACGTGATGTCAAGTGATAGCTTCTTTGTAAGTTATCTATCTAGTCTTTTGGTTGGGATAAAGGAAGGTAGCTAGTTGATTTATTGTTTCAAGGAGTAGATAATATGTATGCATGTCTCAGCTTATTAACTTATGAGCTCTTTGATACTGGGACTGTATATTTTCATAGTGTCCTTATTACTTAATTAGGTTTATTTCTTAATTAGAGTTGACTTTGTTTAACTATAATTTGGTGGTTCTAATGACATGATTTTTAAAAAATTAAAAATAATAGTAATAACAGTAGTTTTATTTTCACGCATGTTATATAATTATAATTTTGTTAGACACTTAACATAAACTACCTCACTTTACCCTCACAACATTTTTTAGACCAGATGTATTTATTTACAAATGAAGAATCACTTTGTTCCTTGTGTAGTTCATTTTCCTCTTGGTGAAGGGGATACTGGTACTCCAGCAAGAGAAATTGGGAAAATAGTATCTCTTTAGACACCAGAGCAGTGTGGGTTGTGGCTGCATTGGGCTGTCCCCTTTTCATCTTCAGGGCCACATTCTCTGTCAGCAAGGCTAAGACAGAGAATACATCCAATGACTACATTAGTTTGGCTCTGAGAATTGTGTTTTTTAATAAGAAGGTTCAATCATAGCTAACTGTTTACCTGGTTGGTTATTCAAATAAAGTTTGTAGGTGCATATACTAGATGGTACTGCAAGGGGAAAGAAGAGGAAAGGGAGTGTCACAGTCAGAAGAGATCCAGAATGGAGTGAGATACAAAAGGCCTATAGTAAATGCAGACTCATCAAGAACATCGATCATAAAATTCCTGAGTTTTAGGATTAGATAATGGAGAGCACGGAGTAACTTTTAAAGCATGTTTTTGTTTGAGATAGAATCTCACTCTGTCGCCTAGGAGTGCAGTAGTGTGATCATAGCTCACTGTAACCTCAAACTCCTGGGTCAAGTGATCCTCCCACCTCAGCCTCCCAAGTATCTGGGACTACAGGCATGCGCCATCATGCTGGGTTAGTGTTTTATTTTGTGTAGAGATGGGGTCTTGTTAAGTTGGCCAGGCTGTCTCAAACTCCTGGTGTCAAGTGATCCTCCTGAGGGTGCCCCCCCCCACCAAAGAGCTGGTATTGTAGGTGTGAGCCATGGTGCCCAACCATTTTATAGCATTTTATAGCTGGTATTCTTAAGAACTCAGAATTTTATTAGACATACTTTGTGGAGAAAGAGTATAATGTGTTTCACAGGTAGCATTTACAAAACACTTTGACATATTGGGAATGGAAAGAATTTTGTTCAAAGCTAGTAACCACATGTAAACTCCTATTTTTAGGGTATCATAAGGTTCCAGAACAAAGAAATAGGGAAATTCAGTTTTTAGTTCATACACTTACTTTACTTTATGGTTAAGTGCTATGTAAATGTTTTAAATTTTTAACAGAAAACACTATTGTTTTCAAGTTTATTATTGAATGTGCTTATCCTTGATTGTTGATGGATTGATGATACATGGACAGCTTCATAGGGTTTTTTTGTTTTGCTTTGTTTTAAGTCAGGGTCTCACTCTGTCACCCAGGGTGGAATGCAGTGGGGTGATCAAATCTCAGTGCAGCCTCGATCTTCTGGGCTCAAACACTCTTCCCACTTCAGTCTCCTGAGTAGCTGGGACTAGAGGCACACCCCACTACACTTGGCTAATATATATATATATTTTTACAAGGTCTTGCTGTGTTGCCCAGGCTGGTCTCCAACTCCTGGCTCAAGTGATTCTCCTGCTTTGGCCTCCCAAAGTGCTGGGATTACAGGCATGAACCACCATGCCCAGCTTTCATATGTGTTTTGTTTGTTTGTTTTTAATAAACTGGTTACCAGTCTCCTTTCCCACATTAGAACAGGGGCCTTGTTTTAGTTTTTCATTGTGTCTTCAGTGTCTGATTCACAGCAGTGGTCACCAACTGTTTGTGGAATGAATAGTTGATGGAAAAGGAGATTCAGAAATTATCTGTGAATCTACACTGAAGGATTGTCATTGCTCCCTGCCACTAGCTTCCATGAATAATCTGTTCAGAGCCCTCAGACTCCTTATCTGTAAGATGAGGCTAGTAGTAGTACCTACCTCATGGGGTTTCTGTGTGAATAAATATACTTAATAAATATAAATATAATTAATGAATAAATATACTTGAAGATCTTAGAACAGTGCCTGGGGGAGAAAGCGTTCACTAAATGGTAAGTTAGCATTATAACTATAGTCATATCACCTTATGTGTTGGGAATTTACCCTAATGCCTAGGCACTTAAATATTATTTCTAACCTTCAGGGTTAGGTGGTGTCATCACCATTTTGTAGGTAGGAAAACGAGGTTTCATTATCACCAGTTTGCTCAAGGCCACACAGCTTGTGGGTGACAGAACCCTGATTTAAATCCAGTTGTGTTGAGCTCCAAAGCCCCTGGTCTTTCCCTATTTCAAGCTGCTTCTCTAAATGGAAAACCAGACCTTAGCAGGAGAGTAAACACAATACCCAGTATGTTTTCACTGTCAGGTGTGTGGCAAGAGTGACCAGAGAATCTGTCTTTCAGGTTCACATGAGTGCCAGGATTTTGTGGGACTAACAGTATGAAATCAAGGGGACCTTGCTGTCTGTCTGCTTCTCTAGAGATAAAAGACACTGTTTATTCCATACTAGGTGGATCCTGGAGCCAGAGACCTTTAAGAAGGTAGAGGAAGTAGGAGAGTGAGAAAACAGCCACAGAGCGCCGCTGCCTTATCTCCCAGAGCGAGCCGGGGTGCTCTGTGCTGCCTTTCTCTGTGTTCCCACAGACTTCTTGTGTTTTGTGTCACCATACTTTTTGTTGATAATTGTTTCCATCTCTGTTTTCCTTACTAAAGTAACAGCACTTTGAAGACGAGCATTATTATACTATCTTTACATGAACACCAAGAGTAACCAGTAGTCTCTCTAGGATTCTGCGATCCTGACTGTCCAATTGGCTTGCCACCTTTTCTCTTACAGAGCTAAATGCATAATTGAGTATTGCCAAGGCTGTTTCTCATTCTACACCTGAAGACCTCTTGGTAGAGGAGATTTCTTTCTATCTGTAATCAGTGTTTCTCATGAATAAGTATTCTCCTTTCCTCTAAAACTTCCTCATGGTTCTTGTTCCTCACGAGTAAATATGTAAGCTCCTTAATTGGTATTCGTAGCTGTCTTTGGCGCTGGCTGTCTTTCCAGCCCATCATTCTCCTTGTCCTTGTCAATGCTGTGTAGCAGCTATGCTGAAACACTCATCTTGCCTTAAGTGTGCCTTAAACTCCCTGCATTCTGTTTCCTTGGCCTCAAACATTTTTCTCCTTTGTCTTTTACTAACTAGTAAATTCCACCCATCTTCCAACACATTCTGGACACCATCTTCCCTGGCCAGAAGTAAGTGCTTTCTCTTCAGACCTCTCAGAGTCATTTGGCTTTTTCTCTCTCTGGCATTTGTCACAATCTCACATATTAATTATCTGTGAATGTGTCTCATGGCTTCTATTTGATTAAAAGTTCACTCATTAATGCTGGCATTAATAGCGTATCTTCACAGTAGTCCTATGAGGAACTCTCTTATCCATCTTGAGGATTAAGTTAGGAAACTAATGTTTGGTGAGGATAGGTGAGATAAGTAAGTTGCCTGTGAGCATGTTATATTAAGTGCTCGATTCCAGACCACTGGTATATTTGGCTCCATCCTATCTCCCTGTTGCATCCCTGCTGCCCAGCGCATGTTCAATAAGAAGGCATTGAGTTGAGTTGCTCTTCTCTGTATATGCACTGACATTTAGTGCTGTATGAAAGCCAGACCTGCATATCACATTTCATCAAATTGAAGACGACTTGATTGTAAGATTAACATTTTTTATGGGCCACTAAGAGAAAGTGCTGCTATTTAAAATATAGCACATTATCTTAGTACAATGTATTTTTATGTGTATTGAGTTATAACAGACTTATCTAGATATGGATTTGAATTATATATCACTGTTAAGAATGGAAAATGTAAATAAAATTGGTAGTAATTCTGCAAAAAAAGAAGGAAATGAAATAGACATTCTTAAAATGACAAATATTTGCTAATGTCTAGTTTATGCCCTGCAGTGTTTCTGTATTCTTCTTAATTTTTATTTTGTAGACTTTTGGGACTTATTCTGAAAGGTAGTTAAGTTTAACACGTGGTATTAACAGACTTCCCGTAACTAAGTTGAAGAGACCCCATGTGAATACTGTAACCAGATTTGTAGCTAGGACATGACCACTAGCTGACAGTGTAGCAGGGATTGTAAGATGCCATTGATGTTAAGATGCTTTTTGATTTTCAAAGATGGCAAAAATGTGCGGAAAATGTGCTCTTATAATTGATGACTCAAGTCTATGTATTCCAAAGTCTTTTATAGTCTGTATTGTTTTAATTATCTGGGAATTGATTAATCATTTTCTTGATTTTGCTAATAATAACCTCAGTTCTTTTTTCAACCATTGTGCCTTTTGATTATTTCACCACTTGTCAGCTATTTTACCAAAAAGTAGTCCAGTGAAACAATGAGTAGATTATAGGAACTGAAGGCTGGAATGAAGCCTCAGCACATCAGGTTTACTGTTTTCAGATTTGCCTTCTGGTCCCCCCAGTTGATAGGGCTGGCTATATCTGTTTTGACTTAACGGAAATGTAAGAGGTTAAAAAATTCCCTGACTGCTTTGGGTAAGGAAATATAAAAATATCTTAAACAGTGAATTGCCTTGTGAATAGTAAGTGCCTAATACTAAATGATTCCTCCCCTCTTTTTTATACAGATCACGGTTGGGCTGCCAAATCTGTTTGACAAAATCTATGGACAATATGACTGTTCGAGTACCTGAAACAGTGGCAGATGCCAGGCAATCCCTTGATATAGGCAAGACCTCCTAAGCTACAACAAATAGGAATATTTTCATGAAATTCTACCTATTTTTATAATTATTATTTCTTGATATAATTAAATGAGAACATGGATGAATGGACTTATTATTATGACTAGCTTTACTATTTTAATTCACCTTGTATAACCACTGAATTTTGTAGTTCTGAAAGTATGCCATTTTAATTTTGGTTAAATTATAAAAAATGCCAATCAAATATTAAAAAATAGTTAATATGAGAAAACCTTACATAGTTTACCTTATGTTTGTTTAGCGACATTAGCAAAATGTTTTCACATAATTTTTTGTATACCTGGAAGGCAGGTTGGAAAAAAAAAAAGGTAGTATTATCCCTGTGTGATGTGGGTGAAACCAGAGATCTAAATTGTCATATTTTGGGCCATACAACTCATTAGAACACCTATACTTAAACCTGCATCTTGTTACTGTAAGTTTTATGTTCAGACTGAACTTGGAGAAATTATGACTATCTTATTTATAGCAGTAATTAAACCTGAATATGTGTGGGCAAAAATAGTTACTTGTTCAGTGAACTGCTTCGAAAAGAGTTATAAATCTTATAAATAAATACTTCAAAAGAGTTATTAATCTTATAAATAAATACTTCAAAATTGTGGGTGATTCATTGAGAGGTGTAAGTCTGAACACAGGCATTATAACTCTGCCAAAGAATTTGATCTCTGTTTTGACAAAACAAAAAGAGTAAACTAAAACTAGATGCCTTTATTATTTTGTGTTCCAAGCAGAATGGTCTACTTTTGTATCTGTTAAAGATAATGCTGATTTACAGATCTCTGCCTATACCAGAATGGAAATCTTATGAGTTAGGTTTCTCCACCCTGAGCAGTAGTAGGAGGGACGGAATGAGCCAGCTGACGTGCAGCCCAGGCCCAGGGGCTCCATTCTTTTACCTAGGGGTGGAGCCACTGGATGACCAGCTTGTAGGCAGCGCACATCGCGTGTCAGTCGCTGAAAGGAGGGAATGGTCTGAGCACCACAGGTGACCAGTTATATGTGGAAGACATTGGTGTCCTTATCTTTACTATAAATAAATTCATAAAAGCGAACAAAGGGGTACACCGTATAACCTTTGGAAATACCATAAAGCATCAGTCAACTTGGACTAAAGCAGAACAAATCAGTGAAAAAAAAAAAGTGAATTATAAGACAATTGAGTTAGCCTCATGACCACCATTGCAGTTTGATCATTTGTATAAATACTTGTCAAGTACAATGCTTGATGTTCAACATTGTGTTATGCCCATTGGGGACACAGAGATGAGCAAAACAAGGAATGTTCTCAAGGAACTCACCTTTTACTAGAAAAAGATAAAACATGTGTCCACAAATAACATGCTTGAACTAAACTGACCAGTTCTACAGAACAGGATTTTAAACTAATTAGTATGTAAAAAGTGATTAGGAAGAACTTGAGGCATCTAGTTTTCATCTGTTAATAACCATTGAATGCCTTCTGTATGGAGAGTGCTTGTCTTTGTTTTCTGTTTTTATAACAGAATATCATAGACTGGGTACTTTATAAAGAAAGGAGAGTTATTTGGGTCTTGGTTCTGGAGGCTGGGGAGTCCAAGAGCATGGTGCTGGCATCTGATTGGCATCTGGGGGGTGGGCCTTATTGCTGCATCATAGCATGATGGATGGACAAAAGAGTGCACATGTGAGTGAGAGAGCAAATGGGGGCTGAACTTGCCAGTGGCCTGCTCCTGAGGTGGCTAACCCTCTTCCAAGACAGTGGCATTAATCCGTTCGTAAGAACAGAGCCCTCATGACCAGATCACTCTTAAGGCCCTACCTTTTAATACCATTACATTGGCAGTTAAATTTTAACTTGAATTTTGGAGGGGACATTCAATTCATAACAGTGCTATACTTCTAAAGCATTTCTAAGCCAATTTATTTTCTTAACTGGCTTCAGTATTCTTGTGTGGATTGCCTGAACTCTCCTTTCCAAAGCTACTTAAATGATGATATTCAATGAAAGCACTCTAATTCAGAGTCTACATTGTCTTAGATTTCAAATTAGAAAAGTTCAGATTATTAAGTCTTATTAAATGTATTAAATGGAAGCTATAATCTATGATTTGGTTTGTATAAAGGTTATTTTTCCATTTTGAAAAAATTCTTTCATAGTTGATGTCTGTGTTCTGGGTAAATGTATTGGTTTATCTATTGCTGCAAAACAAATTGCCCCCAAACTTAATGGTTTAAAATAACAATAACCTTTTATTATTTCAGACAGTTTCTATGGGTCAGGAATTCAGAGAGTACAGAACAGGGATGGCTTATCTCTGCTCCACAGCGTCTGGTGTCTGAGCTAGGAGCCTCAAAGGCCAGATCCTGGAATCACCTGCAGGCTCGTCCCTCATATGACTGGCAACTATTGGAGAGTATATTGACTAGAATACCCACATGGGGTCTCTCTATGTGGCCAAGACTTCCTCACTACTTGGCTGGGTTCTAAGTGCCCTGAAAGAGGGTATGCATGCTAGCCAGAAGCTGTATCCCTTTTGTGACCCAGTTGTGGAAATTATTCCATTATTTGCAGGGAAGGGCATCAGAATTTGCAGATATCCCAGTAACCATTAACTTGCCCTTTATTTCTTGTGAATATTGGCTTTTTAACTAACAGTGTTCTAAGCTTCTTAAGAGGAACTCATTTTCCCTCTTATTAAAGTTTCCTGTGCCTTCGTTATCATGATGCCTCCATTGTTATATTTTGTAACTTCCAACGTTTTCGTTCTTGACTGTTGATTTAAATGAAAGGGAAAAATGGTGGGCTCCTTTTCAGTACTATGTAATTTTAGTTTACCTTTCATAGTCATTTTGCCATCAAGAAAGGCATCTTCCTTTGGTACAGTACTCTATATAATTGTTGGTTATGTGTTAATATTGTGTTTGTTTTTCACAGATAAAACCAAACTGTAATTACTTAAGTAATCCAGAACCACTGAATTAGTTCTTAAGTGAAACATTCTAAGGATTTCTAAAAACTGCTTTTCACTGAAAATACTAATTTTTCTGTCTCAAAGGAATGGCTTTGCTATTTTCTTACTTGCTATTAAATATCACATGATCATCCATGTGGTCTCTATAATGGTCATTCAGCTGTTATTAGAACATATTTCACTTGAGAAGTTGTTTTCTTTTTAAAAAATTTTTATTATAAAGATTTGGAGTACAATTCAGGGTTAGGTATATAAACATTGATCATGCAAGTACTCTTGTTGATGAGGTATACCCCTCCCTCCCCTAGCAGTTTGAAAAGTTGTTTTCTAAGGGAGGCTTACTAGACTATGTTTTCCTATCTTTTCTTTTTCTTCTTTTTTGCAACTCTTTTAATTACTTTTCCTTCCTTAAACTAGCTGAAATTTTGTGGTAAACCACATTTTGAATTCGAAATTGTTAGATGAATTTCTTATTTATAGGGTAACTTATTGTTGTGTAAATTTTTAAAAAAATAGAAATAACATACTGTATTTTACATTACTAAAAATAGTATACAAAACTTCATAAAGTGTAAACATAGTAAGACATTCAAATAAACTTTGCTCTTAGAAAAATACTGAAAAATAGAAATATGATCTTAGTTAAGCAATGACAGAATTCCTTTAATGTGTCAGTACATCACATGATACCAAGTTATTTTTATCAGATTTTTTCTAAGTTTCTAGAAACTGAAAAATTAGAAAACCAGCTGGTAGGAGGAAGGCATGGTCACTAGCAAGCACAAATAAATGTGGCTCTCACAGAACAGGAATAGGGGGTTAGAAGATAATTTAAACTTTCCAGAAGTAACTTCTAAGAGTTGATGGGAAAGATCTTCACTGTGAGAGGTGTCACTCCTGTAGTAACTGTTAGTAATAAACTGTTGACTAGATGTTTCAGTCCTGTTTTGATTCCCTTTTGCCTGTTGTCTCTTAAGGTATTATTTGTCATTTGATTTTTAGACTTGAATTGATAATACTACGAAACTGAGCTGAGCCTTTTGCCTTTCTGGTTCTCCTTGCGTTTCCTAACCTTTTCTGAAATCGTCAGCACTTGGCTTGGTTTTCCTTAGTTGTCTTTATCACTCTCTTACCTGTCTGTCCTTCTCTTCTGCCTCCAACCGCCCTGTAGAGCAGTGGACTCCAACCTTTTTGGTCTTGGGGTCTGGCTTTGTGGAAGACAGTTTTTCCAAAGTTGGTGGCGGGGGAGTCATCAGGTATTAGAGTCTCCTATAGATCCCTCACATGCGTAGTTCACAATAGGGTCTGTACTCCTATGAGAATCTAATACCACAGCTGATGTGACAGCAGACAGAGCACCACTGGCCTTCTGTGCGGCCAGGTGGGGACCCTGCTGTAGAACATCTACTACATATAGCAGTTAGCACTGATAACTTCAGCATTTTCCCCGGATAAAATAGCACTGACTCTTTAAGAATGGGCCTGGATTATTTTTTTGTTTTTGTTTTTTTGAGTCGGAATCTCACTCTTTCGCCCAGGCTGGAGTGCAGTGACACACTCACAGCCACTGCAGTCTCGACTTGCTGGGCTCCAGCAATCCTTCCACCTCAGCTTTCCAAGGCTTATTTTTTGATTTATTGTAGAGACGAGGTCTCACCAAGTTGCCCAGGCTGGTCTTGGACCCCTGACCTCAGGCAATCCTCTCGCCCAGCCTACTGGATTGTTTTTAATTTTGTAACTGCGATGTCTGCCACAGCTTTTAGCCCAAAGTAGGTATATAATTAGTGTTTGAATTAAAGCATGGTATTACAAGGAATAAGCTTCTATCTTTTGGCTCTGAGGCAGTCACCTGTTTATGGATGGGACTACATGAGGTCGATACAGGCCAATATACTAAGCCTGCATCCTAATTCTAACTTAACACAAGTCAGGACATGTAGAAGTGTTTTCTTGAGAGATAATTTCCACCGTATTGAAAAGGACTGTTCAATTTATCAGCTTCTTTTTTTTTTTTTAACGTAACTTGGATGAAACAGCTTTTGAATGAGCTGAACGTAGGCCCTTCTGCCAAATTTTTATTTTTTTGAGTTGGGGTCTCACCCTGTCGCCCAGGCTGGAGTACAGTGGCACAATCAAAGCCACCACAGCCATGACCTCCTAGGTGTCTCAAAGTGCTGAGATTACAGGAGGGAGTCACCAAGCCTGCTCCCCCCTCCCCTTTTTTTTCTTTTGAGTTGGAGTTTCACTGTCACCCAGGCTGGA